TGTTACTTTCCTTTTTTCTTTCTTTCTTTCATTGTCTCTGTCTCTCTTTCTCTCATTGTCTCTCTTTCACACTTTCTTTCTTTCTTTCTTTTCTTGTTTTGTTTTCTCCCTGTTCCTGGGTCAAATGGGAAGGAAGGGAGGAGGGCCACTTCCAGCATCCCAACTGCATGAGCACCCTGGGGATGCAGACGGCTGCTTGATGTCATCCCAGGGTCCCTGATGTGGAGCGTGTTCCAAGGGTATTGCTCGTGATTTTGACACTTCTGAGATGTTGTTGACTTCATTGCTCCAAGGTTGAGGAAATCCTTCCAAGGTCCACTGGCTGAAATAGTTCACCTTAGAGACTCAATTTGCCCAGATACTTGCTGTCAAAGTATACTTGGCCAGGAGAGTTGTCCAATTTATTCTGTCTTCCATCCTCTGCCATGGTACCAGACGTCCTATGAGGATTTCAGTTAGCTGTCATGTCTATCATGTGCTTCTAGGCATATCATCCACTGCACTGCCATTAGCAAATGTGGGGGCCCAGTTCTAACACATGCATTCCACGGTCAGACCACAGATGCTGTGGTTTTCCCTGTGCTTGGTGTTTTGTGTCCAGTGGTCCAGTCTGGGAGTGTGGGGAGGAAGTCCCCAAAGAAACCTTATCTGTTTTTACTCCAGACGCGAGTCTTGTGTGTCAGCCAGTACGGAGTCTGGCTCAGTTGCTCACCCACCTCAGCACCGCCCCCGCCCCCGGTGGTTGCAGTTTCTGAGTCAGTTCTGTCTGCAGCCCATCTCTTACACAAATCAGTGGATACTGTGGCCCAGCCCATCCCTGTGCACCACACAATGATTGCCCTTCCTGGTAAGCCTTTGAGAAATAGCTGAGCTGTGGAGTTAACCCTTGGGAGACCGGGGCCTACAGCCCTCATGTAAATCAATGGGAACTGTAGCCTAGTCAGAGCAATCCCTAATAATCCTCACCAGGCCCATCTCCAAACCTAGTTCCTGTGCTTGCCAGCATGTGCAGCAGACTGTCTAGTCTATCCCGCATCCCATTTGACTTTTGTACACATGAGTGCGAGCTGCAGCCTAGTTCACTTGACTGGTACCATATCCCACCCATACTTATGCTAATGGGTGCAACCACCTGTCCAGCAAGGCCTGCCTCAGCCCTGGTTCTTATGTTCACTAGTGGGAGCTGTACCCCAATAGAGGGGTATCCAAGTGTCCCAACTAGGCTTGCTTCCAGTCCCAGATCTTATACTTTCCAGGTGGTTCTGTAGTGTAGTCTCACAGGATTTGCTCCCATTCCCAGCATGGCAACTGGTGCTGCAGCAAAGCCTGAGCAGCCTGCACTTACTCTGGCTCATGCATGCCCCAATGGATATAGCCAGTTGACCCAGTCTGACTCCTGCTAACCCAGCTCAATGCAGGCCAACAAGTGTTGTAGCCCTGCCAAGTCTGGTCAGCCCCATGTCCTAGGTCTCCTGCTCAGCAGTGGGTACACTGGCCTAACAGGGGAGCCCCTTCAGTACCCCTCCTGGGATTTTCCTCCACTACCCGAGGTCTTACATGTGGTGGTGGGTGCTGTGGCTAAGCCTGGATTGGCCTGCCATGTAGGCTGGCTTGACCTGGTCAGCTCCCAGTTCTGGCACTATAGGGTACTGGCTTGTGTTGCAACCCAACTCAGCCTGTCCTGTACCCCATCCTGGTTCTTACATCTCCTAGTTGTTTCTATGAACTGGCCCAGACTGACCTGCCCCCAGACCTGACCCACATTGGGAGAGCTGCCCAAAGCAAAGCTGCCAGCCTCTTGCAAATCTAGGGATCTCTATAGCAAAGACGACCCCATGACAGTGGCCCCTAGGTGCTGTGGCTCCAGCACCATCCTTACCAATCACCCACCCTCATCCTGCACCTTCTCCTCAGTTCATGCTGCCACGTCATCACTGCTCCATTGGAACCACTCACAGCTCGGGTTCACTAAGCAACTCTTGAAAACCAGAGTTCTAAACAGAGAGAGAGGGCACTCTTTCTTCATTGGTTGGTCCCTCAGGTGTCCCCAAGAGCCAAGTGTGCTCTGTGCTAGCCTGAAGCCAAGAGCTTTCTCTGGGTCTCCCCCCCGCCATAGGTGCCAGAGCCTAAGCACTTGGGCCATCCTCTGTTGGTTCTCCTGGAGCCATTAGCAGGCAGCTAAAACATAGGTGGGCAGCTAGTACATTTACCGCCTTCCTTATGGGATCCCACAGCACAGGAGGTAATTTTACCCACTATGCCATGACACTGGCAGCAAAAGCAACATTTCTAATGAGGGACTTGAACATTGTAGATTGTTGTATCTGCAGGAGTTTCTGGCACTGTGAGGCTGGGCCAAATGGCTTAAACACAGCTTCGAGGAGGATGGAGGATACAGCCAGGGGTCAGGGCCAGCTGTGGATTTTGTTCTGTCCACAGAGTAAATTTTGGTCAGAGCCAACATTTGCTGTTGAGTAGGGTGGTTATTATAGATCCAGAGTTAACGGCTGGCTTGACCTGCCCTCTGTGGTTGCTGATGGGGTGTTGCTGGCCTTGTTCTCCAGTTTCCTGTGAGGTAACCTTGGTCCCCAGGGAGGAGGTGCTAGGAGACATGTAGGAGGCAGGGAGCCTCATCTGAGCTATGCAGAACAGACTTACCACTGTTCAGAATGATGGTAGACACTGACAGTGTCCATGGCTTGCTATAGCCCTCACTGCTGCCTGGTGCTGCCCTTCCTTATCCCACGGGGAGGACTCCTCGGGCCCTGCCAGCACTCCTGAGCAGGTATAGGGCTTCCTTCCCCTCACATCCTACCGGCCTGCATCTTCTCAGGTCCTCAGGAAGCCCAGCCACAGTGGGTAAAGCTTCTGCTTGGTGCTAGCCTGCTGGCATCACCCCCTTGTGCCTGGCTCTGCCTTTGTCCCTGTCCCCTGCCTGTTGGTCCTGATGTTGGAGTGTGTAGCCAGAGCTGTCCTCTCTTGGAGTGGGACATCACAGCTGGTCCCTTGGCTGGGGATCCCTGGTCCCCACACAGGAGGAAGTACATGGCTCTGCTCTCATATCCACAAGGAATAACAACAGAACTCACAACCACCTCTTGTCACAAGAGAGATTTTTTTTTTTTTTACCACAAAGAGATTTCTAAAAATATTTAGTGTATTTATTGGAAAGGTAGAGTTACAAAAACAGAGAGAGAAATCCTCAATTCGCTGGCTCCCTCCCCAAATAGTTGCAGTGACTGAGGCTGGACCGAACCAAATGCAGGCCTGGAATTACCAATTATAAATCTGTATTTCCAATGTGGGTGATTGCCAGGGGCCCAAGTACTCAGGCCATTTTCCACTGCTTGGCTCCACAAATTAGCCTGGAGCTGGATCAGAAGTGGAGCTGTTGGGTTTTGAGCTCCACTATAGGATGCCAGCATTTACAAGTCACTGTACTCCCGTGCCAGTCCCAGGAACTTCTTGAATGAGACCTGTCAGAAGCAGGCAGTGTGTAAGGCAGTCTTGGTAACCCTACTTTTGGGTGCTCATGGCCTGGCCGAATTCCCACCCCTGGGCTTGGACCAAGTGTGATTAGATTACATAGACAGTGGCTTTTGTCTTGAATGTGTGACCTCTCACTGTCTCCCTGGTCTATTGTGTTTGGAAGCAGATGGCCGCATGGGAAAGTCCCACTTGCCTGACCTGGTGAGGAGCCCGGGTCCTGCTCATGGCCATGTGTGTGAGTCTGGATGCTGACCTGTGTCCCGCAGCAGCGGCATGCTGGGCAGGCTTCAGGCTTGGCTGCATGCAGGTACTTGGGTGAGGAATCCGGGAATGAATTTCCCTCTGACCCAGGCACTGCCAGTCTGTCCTGGATGCTGCTGCTGTTTGGATGTGGTTGTCACCCAAGAGTTTGGGTGTTGGGAGTCTCAGAATGTGGTGATGGCCCTTCGGGGTTCTCAGGGCTGGCCCCCAGGAAGGATTTGGTAGATTGTCATGGGATGCTGCCAGTTCTCACAAGAGGCCAGAGGGATATTAGAAACAGGGCAGGCTTGGCCCTCCCTTGCTGTGGGGCCTATTTCAAGATGTGACTTAGCTGCCTCACTCGCCTGTCCGACCCCCATCATGTACAAATGGAACTATTTTCAGTTTGCACCTGGCTTAATCTGAGAATGATGAACTGCAGGTGTGGAGGGTGGGCTGTGTTTTGTGCTGATATAAAAGCAGGCTTTAAAATAAATGAGTGAGCCAATGGAGTTAAAACACTTTCCAGGGCCCGGCGCAGTGGTGCAAGTGGTTAAGATCCTCGCCTTGCCTGCCCGGGATCTTATATGGGCTCCCGTTCTAATTGTCGCTCTCTCTGATGGTTGCAGGTGGTAAGAGCAGAAACCAAAATACCTGTGGTAGAGATGCAGCCCCTCCCCTTGCCGAGACAATTTGGCACGTGCTTTATTTATACATTTATTTAAAGATTTCTTTCTTTTTTTGGAAAGTGAGACATACAACAAGGAGAAGAGACAGAGAGGAATATCTTTCATCTGCTGATTCACCATCCCAAGGGGCCGCTATGGCCGGGGCTAAGCTGATACAAAGTCAGGTGCCCAGAGGTGCTTACTGGCCTCCCACGTGGGTGTAGGATCTGAAGGGCCTGGGCTGTCCTTGACTGCTTTCCCAGGTCACAAGCAGGGAGCTGGATGGGAAGTGGGGCTGCTGGGACACGAATTGGTGCCCATGTGGGATCCTAGTGCGTACAAGGTGAGGACTTTAGCTGGTAGGCTACCATGCGAGGCCCACATGCTTTATTTAGAGAGAGTGTTTCAGACAGTGGACAGAGTGAGATTTGCGTTTCTGGCATCCTGGTTTTGAGTTCAGTTTCTCCCTGTCTGTACGCCCTGGAATAAGCGACTTCTCTAAGCCTTTGCTCCTTGAGAGTGTGGGCCAGTGCTCCACTGTGCATGGCAGGTACACAGGCCTGGGGGTTGGAGAAGAGTTCTGTGGCTGACCTCAGTCACCTAGGGTGGGACCATCTCAGGGGCTCATTGTCTGTGCCGCTGTGGGATCAGCGGCTTATGGCCCTGTCCCTTACATGGCCCATGGTTCTGTCACTTGTAGTTCCCTTTACCATGTTTGTTTTGTGCCTTGTAAATGCCTTCAAATGGGAGAAAGGCAAGGCCTTCGCTCCCTTCCTCTGGGCTTGCAGGTCTGACTGGGCCTTCCGGTCCCCTGCACCAACATCCTGGGTCCTGCACCTATATCCTGCCCAGGGCCCACTCAGACTAGGGGTCTGATACAGCGGCCCTTCTGCACCTGGAGGAAGGTGAAGGGACTGTGTGAGGCAGCTTAGGAGTTTGGGCTCAGTGTCTTCCCTGAGAACCCAGCAGGGACTTCCTGTGAAGGTGCTGGGAAACCCCTCCTTATTCAAAAGAATGGAGAGCAGCGGGAGTCCCATCCTGAGCTGGCCTAGCCAGGGCACTGAGGGCCATGTCTCTCCAACCCCAGTTGGAGGGACCATGCCAAGCCTCTCCTCAGAACCCCCCTTTTCCCTGCAGTCCTTGAGCCTCATCGAGATCAGGAACCCTTCCCAGAACCTGGAGAATGTCTGCCACTGGGCTTGCCTGCAGCAGAAGCCAGACACAGACCACGACAAGTACCACGATCATGCCATTTTCCTCACTCGGCAGGACTTCGGGCTGTCAGGCATACAAGGTGAGCTGTCCTCAGGTGGGGAATCGTGGGGGAAGTGCAGTGAGAGGAGTGTGATGGAGGAGCCATTGGCTTTGCCAGATGCACCTGTGCACTTGGCCCATCCCAGGAAGGAGTGTCCAGTGAGGGCCTCTAGGCCAGTGTTGGCAATCCCTTACCACACCCCAGGGGTGGTGAAATGCGAAGGTACTGGGCCAGGCATTGCTGAGACCAGATTGGGTTTCTTCAGCTTTATTTTCAAGATTGCAGGAAAACAGATTTGAACACATTTCCAACCTTTGCAGATTGAGCTTTTATTCAAAGATGTAAACTATATGAAAGGGCAGATCTAAAAGCAGAAATGGGCACATCTACAATCCCCATTGAAGAGATAAAGGTGTCTTTTTCTCAGTAAGTAGAACAGATGAGAAAATCAGTAACAATGTAGACATTTGAACTAAGCAACTTGACCCACTTGATGTAGACAGAATGCTACACCACATCATTAGAGAATGCAAAGTGTCTGAGTGCACATAGATACATGCCCAAATGGGGAGACCTTGTACATATGCCTGCAGCTCTCTTACCGGACTGAGTGTACCTTTGCTGAGATTCCTGAGTCATAGTCTTTCTTGCTTTTAAAGTGAAAATAATGCAATAGTGTGTGTGTGTGTGTGTTTTATTTGTTTGTTTTATCTTAAAGGGATGTGATAAGGAAACATGTTTTTTTTTCAAATCTTCTTAGATAGACAAGCCCCTTTCAACTCTTGACATTAGAATGGAGATGAAATCTGTTAAAATCAACTCTAAAACTTGATGCAATTTCTTTTATAAAGTAGAACAAGCGCTTACCCTGAAGGTTTCCTGATCGTATAGGTTCTGTGACCCTAGCAAGCTTACTCTTTTGGATTGTTAGTCCATAGCATGAAAAGTAGCATCTCAGTTAATACATATTGTTGCTGTATCTTTGTGTTTCTCCATAATGGATTAAGGCAGGTCACCTCATGTAGTATCTGACTAAGATACCTTCCTCCTTTGACCAGCCCCTCCAGCATATTCTGTGTGTGGAGATTGATTATATTTGTTTATATTGTTTATATGGATGTGATGTGTTCTTTGAATCCTTGCTGTATTCCCACCCTCCATATCCTTTCACATGTTTTGTTTAGCAAAATCACTGAACTCACATGCAAAGCATTGCCTTCTGGAACACTGGCAAAATACAAGGATTAATGAGAAAAGGTGTCAGCTCTCTGGGAACTGACAACGTGAGTTGATGATTCCCTCTAAGTGTGACTTAGCATAAAAAGTACTATTCAGTAGAAGTTGTCATTGCTGAGCATAGATGGTTCAGCCCTGCTCAGGCTTTGCAAGGCTCTCAGCTGTGTTCTCAGCTCCTTCAGTCCACACCTGCCCAGGTAGGGTTCCATGCATTATCTTTCATTGACATTTTCCCCACACATCTTTCATGCTATTCTTTTTTTTTTCTTTTAATAAAATTTATTTTGACATTCTTTACATAGTTAATTAGGGTAACAAGGTTTAAGGGCTACAGGAAAGTGGATAATACTAGTATGTTTTCCATATTGTTACCTTCATGTTTAAAGGGGGGTATTAAGGGAGAAAGCCCACCCAATTTCCCACCCTCCCCAGGTCCCGGATGTAGGGCATGCTCTGAGGTTCTTGCTCAAGTGGTTTTGATATTGCCACAGTTATGAATCGCTGTCAATCTTGCCACTCCAAGCACTATGAGGTTCTTGAAAAAATCCACTGATTGACATAGTCCATCATAGCTGAGATGGTTGGTTGCCCTGTTCTGTGTTCTCTCTTTTCTTCATTAGGGTTCTGAGTCCAGCAGTTAGATTAGGAAGATCTCCAAAGAAACTTCTTGTATGTGCTAACAAGTACAGGGCCTGGCACCATCCATCACTCCAATCAGCTGGTGGTTGCAATTGCTGGGTTGGTTCTGTTTTCACTCCCGACTTCCACTGGAACCAATGGGTGTTGCAGTCCAGCCTGGTTCTGCCCAGCACATACTTGGCCCTCACATAAACCAGTGGGAGCTGCAGCCTAGTTGGAGCGACCCACAATAACCCCAACCAGGCCCGCCCCTACCCTGGTTTGCCAGTAATCCAGTCTGTCCCACACCCCATTCAACCCCAGCAGCTATCTTAGTTTTATGTCCTCCTGTGGAAGTGGCAGCCCCTGAGGGATGAGCCCACTGTTTCCCTGTCAGGCCTCTCCCACTCCCAGATTCCAGTTGATGCTGCGTCTAAGCCCAAACAACCCTCGCCCACTTTAATTGTTTGCACCAGTAGGAATAATCTGCCCAGCCCGGCTTTTCCCTGCTCTAGTCCACATGGGGCGCACAGGTGTGGTAGCTCTGCCTAGTCTGGTCTGTCCCCATCCCAGCCTATGCTCTCCTGCGGAAGTAGCTGTCCAGCAAAGGAACACTCCCTTATTCCTAATATTTATTCATTTTTGAAAAGCAGTGCTACAGAGAGAAAAGAGTTCTGGCATCTATGAATTCATTCCCCAAATGCTGCAACAGTTAGAGCTGAGCTATCCGAAGCCAGGAGTCAGAAGTTTCTTCTGGGTCTCTTCTGGGGGTGCAGGCTCCCAAGGTCTTGCCCCATCCTCTGCCACCTTACCAGGTCATGAGTAGGGAACTGGATGGGAAATGGAGCAGCTGGGACTTCAACCAAGGCCCACATGGGATTCTGGTACCACAGGCAGAGGTTTAACTAGCTATGCCACAGCACTGGGTCCCCATCATACTCTTATACAGTGAATTGAATGTGTTAAACAGTTCTCCCACTGAAAATAAAAATACTGGCTGCAACTTTTTTTTCAATGCACTAATGAGCTGGCAGGAAAGTCGATAACCCTTAGAGGTAAAAATGAAGTAAAAGCCAAAATCCAGAAGGCAACCTCTGAGCTACTGTGATTGACACCTGGTTCCCTGGAGCCCTTGTTCAGCCGGTCAGAGAGCTGCAGGAGGAAAAAGACAATGTGGGGCCTGGTCAGTGGAGAAGGACAGTGGGAGCCCTCCATGTAAAGTGAGTCCCACAGGGCCGTCCTGTCATGAACAAATTCACATACCCACTATGCAGCTGCTGATGAAGAGGGAATAGCTGACAACGATTTTGAAAATCCTCCTGCTTTTCTAGCCTTCCGCACACATGGTGCAAAAGCCTAAGCTGAGAGTGTGCATTTCAGTTGCTCCTCTCTGGAGCAGCACACCTTCCATCCTGGCTTCCAAGAACTCCCACTGATAGAATCCCAGGAAACACAGACTCAGAGTTAAAACTCGTTAAACAGGGGGATGGTGCTGGGGCTTGGCAAGTAAGGTACCATGTGTTAGCTGGCATCTCTTATGGATGCCAGTTGAAGTCCAAGTTGCTCCACTTCAGATGCACGTCCCTGCTAATGTGCGTGTGAAAGCTTTTTTTTTTTTTTAAAGATTTATTTTTATTATTTTTCTATTGGAAAGGCGGATATACAGAGAGGAGAGAGAGAGAGGAAGATCTTCCGTCCGATGATTCACCTCCCGAGTGAGCGCAACGGGCCGATACTATGCCGATCCGAAGCCAGGAGCCTCTTCCGTGTCTCCCACGCTTGTGCAGGGTCCCAAAGCTTTGGGCCGTCCTCGACTGCCTTCCCGGGCCACGGGCAGGGAGCTGGAAGGGAAGCGGGGCTGCCGGGATTAGAACCGGCGCCCATATGGGATCCCAGGTGTGCAAGGCGAGGACCTTTAACCACTTGCGCCACCGCGCTGGGCCCGAAAGCTTTTGAAGGTGACCCGAGTGCTTGGTCTCCTGTACCCACGTGGGAGACTCTGAAGAAGATTCTGGCTCTTTGGGTTTGGACCAGCCCTTCTCTGACCATTGCATCCGTTTGGAGAGCAAACCAGCAAATAGGAGAGTTCTGTCTTTCCTCTCTCTCTCTGTAAACTGTGCTATTTAAATGCATACAGTTTTTGAAATTACTAAACAATGAAGGAAATATGTCAGAATAGACTGAGCAGCAGGCAGCTCAAGGATTTCAGTATGTATAATATTGCATGTTTAGTAAATCTGACAATGGGGGCTTTAGAAAATCAGTTGGTTGAAAATTTATTTCTTTGACAGAGTGACAAAGGGAGACAGTGAAATAGTGAAATCTTACACTGGTCCACTAGCCACAATGGGCAGGGCTGGGCCAGAACAAAGCTAGGAGCCTGAAGCTCCATCTGGGCCTCCCACATGAGTGTTGGGGGCCCAGGTACTTGGGCCACTCTCTGCTGCCTTCCCAGACACACCAGCAGGGAGCTGGGTCACAGGCAGAGCAGTGGGGACCCAAAGCAGCGCTCTGATAAAGGATGCCACCACTATAGGCAGGGACTTAACTTGCTGTGCCACAACATTGGCTCCCAGTTCTTGAAAGCTGAAGTAGAGGCCCAGTGTTGTGGCTTGGTGGGTAAAGTCATTGCCCCCAACATCCCAAATGGATGCTGGTTTGTGTCCCAATGCTCCACTTGCAATCTAGCTTCCTATTAATGACCTAGGAAAAGCTGTGCAAGATGGCCCAAATGTTTGGGCTCTGGCCACCCTTGTGGTAGACCTGATGAAGCTTCTGGCTCTTAAAAACAAAACATTAGGGGCTGGTACAGTGGCATAGCAAGCTAATCTTCCACCTTAGAGGTCTGCATCCCTTAGGACAGTTCCTGGGTTCAAGTCTGACTCTGCTCCCAACATCAGCTTGCTGCTATGGAGTAGCAAGTACAGCTCAAGTCACTGGGTCCTTGCCAACTGTGTGTGAGACTCAGGCTGAGATTCTGGTCCTATTTTCAGCTTGTCCCAACCAAGCTGTGGTATGCTTTTGGGGAATGAATCAGCTCATAGATCTCTGTCTGGTAAGCTTCCATTAAAGAAAGAAAGAATATGACAGAGACAGAAAGTATATATATATAAAAAGGGCTTTGTGGGGCCTGTGCAGTGGCACAGCATGATAACCCTCTACTCTGTGGCACCAGCATCCCATAGGGGGGCCAGTTCATATTCGGGATGCTCTACTTCTGATCCAGCTGTCTGCTTATGACTTGGGAAAGCTGCAAAGGATGGGACCCTGCACACACATGAGAGACATGAAAGAAGCTCCTGATTCCCAGCTTTGGATTAGCTCAGGTGGAAGACCGTCCCTAGCCCCTCTCTGTAAAATATTCCTTCCAAATAAAAATAAATACAGCTTTTTACAAAAGGCTTTGTAACAGGAGCCCCATATGTTGGGCTCCCTCTAAAACTTCAGTTGGCTCTGTGTACAGGGTAGGTATTTGGCTCTGAGGACCCAGCATGTGTTCTAAGAGGATCCCCCTGGCTGTGGTGCTGGGAGAGGTCACAGCACAGAGACAGGCAGGGCACCTAGGAAGCTATTGTTCCCACTGAGATGGGGAGCAGGGCTGCAGGAAGACGCCAACACAAACTGCTCAGAGCCTGAACTGTAGGAAGAGTGTAAACAGAGCCAG